GGGGGGGGGGGGGGGGGGAGGGGGGGTTTGCCAGTTTGTGATTGCGAATGCAAGACCAAGTATAGATGAAATCTAAAACAAAGAGCAAAAAACAAAAACAAATGGTTGAAGTATTATTCAATAATGGAAAAAAAACCATCTGAGGATTTTCATTTTTGAAGTAATCAGATGTTTTCCAAGAATCAATGTATGTTAATGTCACCTCGGTGTAACCTTGTTATTTTTACATGAAAAGCCAGCTTTTTTTTATTCTCGGTTGGTATTTGTCCATGTGGGTTGGTGAAGGGGTGACGGAAATGTCTCGTCCGAGCAACACTATCGTGCGAAGCGAGATAGTGGAGCAGCACTAACTATCGAGCAGTACTAACTATCGAGCAATACTAACTATCGAGCAGCACTAACTATCGAGCAGAGCGAGATAGTGGTGTAGCTGCTGAGGTGCGTCTTGGTAGCATAGTGTGTCTCATTAGGTGGGGTCTCAGTAGGTGGGGTCTCAGTAGGTGCGTCTCAGTAGGTGGGGTCTTTCGGAGCTTAAGGTGACTCCTCAAAGATGACTCACGATGACTCACGATGACTCTCTCGGAGATCTTTTATGATTGGCTATTATTAAAAACACACTCTCTCATGATTGGTTAAAGTAGCTCACGTGATATATTATTAGCTCACGTGACACATGAATTTGCTCAGGTGGGGCACTCTCTCGGGATAGCTCGGGAGACTCCTTAAAGTAGCTCATGTTCACCCTCTCGCTCTGTAGCTTATGTGTCTGTCTCTCGCTGTAGCTCATGCAGAGACGCCGTAAAGGCATAGCTCTCCAGCCATAGATAAAGTGTTGCTAGATAGTGTCGATAGTGTTGGTGGCAGTCACTCGATAGTGTCGCTCGATAGTGCCACTTGATATTGTCGCTCGATAGTGCCACTTGATATTGTCGCTCGATAGTGTTGGATTAGATTACATTAGAAATATTGACTCTTTTATATGATTTTCAAACCGCCACCACTACCTTGTTAGTTACCAATTTTGCAATTTGGCATTGATAGTGGTTATGCACAATACCACTTGGTTAACTTTGGAACACAATTTGGTAGCATATTGGTAGCACCACACCAAAATGCTAGCGCAAAGATGGTTGATGTATAGAGATTGGTCTGGGTATTAATGGATAAAGTAAACAAGTAAGCCTCTATTGTAATGAACCCGGATGCCACTATCGAGCGAAGCGAGATAGTAGAGCACTTGCAAATATACTTGAAGCAAATGAAGCAAATGAGTAAATGAAGCAAATGAGTAAATGAAGCAAATGAGTAAATGAAGCAAATGAGTAAATGAAGTAAATGAAATAAATGAAGTAAATGAAGCAAGTGTGCTCCACTATCTCGCTCTGCTCGATAGTGTCGATAGTGTCGATAGTGTCGAGGTTAGATCTTACAAGGTAGCGGTTTATACTAAGTCATCTATTACCTACCTAAAAAATATGTTTATCTCATCTCATCTCTAAATTAGGGCGGCCCAATGAGAGAGAGACTCGATTTAGACTCAATTACTTTTATATAGTTGATGAACTATACATACAAGATAAGTGGTTTCGTCTATAGAGTCACTTTGTAACAACTACTTAGTAGTAACGATACTGTGTCTTCTCCATCCCAGTAGGCCTCCTCTATTTGAGCAAGTCTCTCATCTGCTGCCCCCTCCCCCTCCCCCCATCCAAGTAACACGGGTCTGATTGCCAGAAGGAAAAGATACAAAATCCCAAACAGGAATACAGCGGCTATTTCTTTTTTTCAAAACCGTTAAATGTCATTGCTTCAATTTATCAAGCATATTGAAAAGAGCCATGTTTATAGAGCAATAGATAAGCCGGAACAAGCTAAAAATGAGGTAGTATCTGCAATCAAGGTATTGAATTACCTAGCAGCAGCAGCGGCGGCGGCAAGAGCAGAGGTGCCGCAACAACAACAAGGTAAGGACAAGATTATTAAAACACTTTCGGTGTTTGCACTCGAGTACTACAATGAGTTGAAGAAAAGGGAAACCTCGAAATCAACTTCAGAGAAACTACTTTGGCTTTCGTCCAAATTGGTTGATAGTGAATGTCAATGCGAGTGGTACTGTTACCCGGTGATTAAACTTGGTTCATACGACTCGACAAACGCAATCTTTATCAATAACTATGCTGCTGGTGGTAATGGTGCTGGTGGTAATGGTGCTGGTGGTAATGGTGCTGGTGGTAATGGTGCTGGTGGTAATGGTGCTGGTGGTAATGGTGCTGGTGGTAATGGTGCTGGTGGTAATGGTGCTGGTGCTGATGGTGCTAATACCGCTAATACTGCTAATACCGCTAATACTGCTGATACTGCTGACCAACTTTTATTGGCAAGGTTGCCAAGCGTTACCCAAGATATCTGCCGCTTCGAGCCGCTTGAAATGACCAACTGGAGTGCAGACCCGTCAATCTTATCTGCTCTCTATCAGGATCTACTACAAGATTGCTCATTTGTATCATCATTCCTATCATTGGTGGACCAAAAGGTGCAAATGCTACAGATTATTTCTCCAAACCAAAAGTCTAACATGTATTATGTTTCGCTTTACTTCAATGGATGTAAACGTAAGGTTACCATCGATAACAGATTACCATTAATTCATCATTCGCAAAGGAATTTGACAATAAAGTCATTTGCAGACGAAACTTTGTTTTGGCCAGCATTAATCGAAAAGGCATATTTGAAAATTGCTGGATCGGGGTATTTGCCAAGTGGATCCAATATGGCTAATGATACATACATATTGAGCGGTTGGCTTCCAGAAATAGTCAAGCTAAAACAAGGTCAATTGCCATCTCTATTGATGGAATTATGGCCATTGAAAATGAACGGTCAAGTGGCATTGGGTATTGGAACTGGAAGTATGAGCGATAAGCTTAGCACACAGCTAAATCTAATCAGCGAACATGACTATATGATTGAAGAATTTGAAAACCAAAAGCCATCGATTTCAATCACCTTGAAAAATCCATGGCTTTGTGGAAATCTGGCTGCGAATAGATTTGTTAAAACAGAGGATTTTGCCCAGTTCAAGTATCTATATATCAACTGGAAACCTAAAGAAAATGTGCCAAGCTATACCGAGAATTTTATATACTCAAACAAAAAGCTCATGTTGGATCTACCTCAGTTTACCGTTAAATGTGATAAGGAATGCTGGCTATTATTAGAGCGCCATTTATCACAAGATATGAATTACTGGACAAAAGCCACCGTGTTTGAGTCTACAGGTGATAGGATTCTTTCGCCCAATGATCACGAACACAATTTATTTGAATCCAACAATAGACTTCATCTTATTAAGTTGAAGCCGGGGAGTTATACAATAGTTGTATGGTGTAATACAACCGCAATGTTTTCCTTGACCTCTTTTGGGTTTCCCTTGAGCCGACTGCGATATAAGCACAGTTTTAATAAACGCATTGAAGGAGAATGGACCGTGGATACTAATGGAGGGGAGTGGACAATGTCGAGTTTTCTCAATAATCCGCAATATGACATTATCGTGACCAAGCCAACACTGGTAACTCTATGTTTATATGGAGATGAAGCGACAATAGTCAATTTTCATCTACTCCATTCTCAAGCTTCTCAAAAGGGGAAACGAATTCGCAAATTTGTTAAAACAGACCTGCTCCTTAATGAAAATTACAACTTAAATTACCAATTGGCATCGTTGGATTTGCAACCGGGTCATTACAAGTTAATTGTATCTACATATCACCATAGTTTGGGTAAATTCACCTTTTTCATAAACTCATCAACCCAAGTTGAAGTTGAAAAAGTTCCCAATAGTATTGGCTTGTATTCACATACCAGAATAGTTCCCTGGAATAATCAAAATAGATTTAAATTGTACATCACAACTGAGACTAGAAACACGCTTGTTACTTTCAAGATTCTTCATCAAAATAGTCAAGACACCAAAGCTGTTTTAGTTGAGCGACAAACAAATTATCGACCAGCAATGAGGGCGTCGATATTCAACGCAGTAACAAAACAGCCGATACAAATAAATAAGGACTTTAGTAGTGATACCTTGTATGGATTATATATCGATCAAAGATTTGAGTACCCTGGTGCTTTTATTTTGTTGATTGAGAGGTTTGAAATCGGTAGTGGTGCATGCGTGGTTGAGATTGGCAGTAATTTTAAAGTAACAATACAAAAGGAGCCATGACAAAATAATGAGCCATGATCATAAGGAGCCATGACCAAATAATGAGCCATGACCAAATAAGGAGCCATGACCAAATAATGAGCCATGACCAAATAAGGAGCCATGACCAAATAATGAGCCATGACCAAATAAGGAGCCATGACCAAATAATGAGCCATGACCAAATAAGGAGCCATGACCAAATAATGAGCCATGACCAAATAAGGAGCCATGACCAAATAAGGAGCCATGATCATAAGGAACCATGACAAAATAAGGAGCCATGACCATAAGGAGCCATGACAAAATAATGAGCCATGGCCAAATAAGGAGCCATGACCATAAGGATCCATGACCGTAAGGAGCCATGACAAAATAATGAGCCATGACCATAAGGAGCCATGACCATAAGGAGCCATGACCGTAAGGAGCCATGACGAAGTAAGGAGCCATGATCGTAAGTGGCAGCTAGTCAGTGTGCTCTGCTATCTCGCTTCGCTCGATAGTATTGAAGTAAGCTAGTCGGTGTCGGTTGCAGCTAGTCAGTGTGCTCTACTATCTCGCTTCGCTCGATAGTCGATAGTGTCTATCAGTGTGCCCCACTATCTCGCTCTGCTCGATAGTGTTGATAGTGGGCTCTTAGGACATTATTCTGCATTTGATATGTTAATAATTCATCATTTACAAATTCAATAGTCTTATTCTTTTCTTTAATTTCTAAGCTCAAGGACTCAGTTTTCTGTTTTAATTGAGCATTCAACCTTTGGAGACTCTTTATCAGCTTATTCTTTTCATTCAAAATCATTTCCAACCTTTCATTCTTGAGAGTAACCGAATTCAAGTTGGTGATCAAATCATTATTTTCCAAAGTCAACTGCTGATTTTGCTTGAAAATGATCCCACTCTCAATTTGTTGTTGCAGCTTTGAAGTCTTGGATGTAACTAAAGATGACAAAGGTGTAGCAGCAGCAGCAGCAGCAGCGGCAGCAGCTTCTTCCTGTAATCCTTTTATTCTTTCACATAATTGATCAAAAGCCTGGAAATATTGTAAATCTTTCTTCTCTACTTCATCTCTAATTGCCAAACTTTTCAACACCTCATTTGCCCAAGCAGTCGAACTCACCTTCTCAACCTCAACCTCTCCTCTAGCACCAACCCTTTCCCCCGGTATACTCATCTCTTAAACCATTCAAGAGTTCACTGATAACGGAAATTAAACGGCTCATATAAAAAAAAGATGAAAAGATTTTGATCAGCGGCTAATTTTAACCATATCATTTATCCAAGGATTCTTCTTCTAGTTGCCACGATTGAGCAGTTCTAAGGGTAACGGTTATTGTGGGTAGACGGTAAGACGGTAAGAGTATGTTTACGTATAATGGTGAAGATCAAGATCCAGCGAAGCAGGAGAATTCCAATATTGTTGATCAGCAAGGTCAACAATTTCATAATAATGCAGTTAGAGATTTGGTTTTGAGAGCAAAGAGTTCTGGAGTTTCAGGGTCTTCTGGTATGGGTGCTGCTGCTACAGGTACTGCTGCTACGGGAAACGCAATGCTGAGCAATTCCTCAGGTGCTGTTGCTACAGGTGCTGTTGCTACAGGTGCTGTTGCTGCTACGAGAAATGCAGTGCTGGGCAATTCTTCAGGTGCTGTTGCTGCTACGAGAAACGCAGTGCTGAGCAATTCCTTTTCCCTATTTTCATGGTCTGGCTATCGGCGAAATCTCGCTACTACTTTGCCTGATAATGTTGAAATGCCCGAAAACGGTTCGGCAATTGCTTCCTTGGACAATGAGCCGGTCCAAGATAAGTCCAGCGCGATGAATACTGCAGAAACTGCAGAAACTGATTCAACAAGAAGGTGGTATTCCTATTATACATCAATTTTATTCCCAAATTCTTTACCCAAATTAAACTTGGACGAAATACCTTTACTAAGGGAAGATCCACCGCCTTTACAACATTCACAGTCACTAGTCGAACGACAGGCATCACCGAAGGAAAGTACAATGTCTGAATGCTCCTTTTCGCAACCCCAGCAGTCATCATCTTGGTTTAGTTGGCTAATTCCCAGCTTTTTCCAATCAGCTGCATACCTCAGCGAAACCAATGAAGACGATGATTCTAGTGAGGCTTACAGATCATCAAAACTCGCTATTGTAGGAGCTAAGGATGAGTGTCATTATGTTTATGCCAGTACCGATGGGTTTAAGAATTTCGAATTAGCAGTGTATGGAACAGTAAGCGAACATAATCCCGTACAGATCCATTTCCGCAAGAATAGGCCAGTATCATCAAATGAGATTTTTGAAAAATCATTGAAAAAGCAAGCTATTCAAACGGTACCAAGCATAACAACATCAACAACTAATACTACATCATTGGAAAACGACAACTCGCCAACACTATGTAGAAATTTAGTTACACCTACGGTTCAAGAGAATTATCGACAAGCGACTTTGAAAACCAAGCTCCGGATTATATCAAAAGATGTAATTTGCGGCATAAAGACAGAAGGTCACTTGTATAGAAAAAAACCAAATGATTTGCATCAATTGATCAAAAAGATTCAAAAAATCACCATTATCGGCGTTCATAACTTTTTACCTACCAAGATGGTGCGGGCACTAATTGGTGAGTATACGGGAACCTCAATAGACTATGTGAAGAAAGCAGCAAAAGCAGTTGAAAAGTGGATTTTGGAAAACTCTTTTGAATTTGAATCATTAGATTATAGTATAAAGACAATAGCAATTGACGGACAGGGCAAGATGAATGATCGCATTGATAAATCTGTGCATTTACTTAACAATTGGAAAAGTGACTTGGAACAAAGTGATTTCATCTTTTTTGTAAGTTATTCAACCTCAGTTCCTATTGCTGTGAATATTCTTGCTAGATTGTTGCAAACAAATTATCATTTGAAGCACCATAATAGAAAGATTGCAATTTTGAGCATGCTGGGCAGTTTTCTTGGTCCTATGCCATCGCATTACTATAAGATTGTTTATCGAGCATACACCCAAACTGAGAATGAGATAGTTCGAGAAGTTTTCGAATTAGATAAAAGAGATAGCTTGTTATCCAAGCAGTTGGACCATTCAATGAAGTACCTTATATCAAGGAATGTAAAGTTTATCTTGACAAGCAGTTTAAATGATTGTTCATTTATACCACTTTATTCCAGTTGGGGATTGCAGTACAATCATCCTAATATCCATCGCAACATGTACAATGGAACTGACGCCACTCCTGGCGTTCCATCGTTTATTTCACAAAGTTTCAATATGATTTGCATGATGAAAAACCTTGGTCAAGAAGATGAATACAATATCATTAAAGAGCTAGGTGATAAACTAGACCCCCCAGGTAAATCACCACGAGCAATGATTTTCGAACAAGATCAAGTATATACCGAAGCACTCAATTTTGCATTAAAATCGACAAATCTCACTCACATGCGAGATTTGAAGATCCGGTACTCGAAATCAAACTTTAGCCACCAGCCATCTTCAGCATCGGTGTCTCCTTCAGCATCAACAACATCAGTGAGTTCAATCCTTTCTTCACCTACACAACAACAACAACAGCAGCAGCAGCGACAGCAACAACAACAACAACAACAACAACAACAACAACAGCAACAACACTATCTTCAACAGTACGACATTCAGTTGAACTTTCAAAACATTCTCCCTTGGTCTATTCGATCCATATTCCAAGATTTCATAACTTATAAACATATAGACACTTTTAGTAGATTAAATTGCATATTGGAACAATTTCGAGACTGGAAACCAAGTAGTAAGCAGTATAGGGATATAAAGTATTGTTTGGATGCGTTAAGTGATTTTGAATTGGATGAGTTGATACTATGAGTTGCTGATAATGGTTTAGGATTGGTATAGTTATTGATAAGTAGACTATTGCATGTTTCCATATATTTCTCTTTGGGAGGGGTTTAACTTCTCACCACCACCCTCTTAACGGGATTTACTTTGCAGATTTTTTGACTTCTTTGGGTTATGTGGCAAATGCATCTTTTTCTTGTCCATTTTGTGTAAAGTAACAAAAATAGGCAAAAAAGAAAAATCCAAATACCGCCAGGTATAAAAAGGTAAAAAATAATCCAAATACCGTCAGGTATAAAAAGGTAAAAAATAATCCAAATACCGTCAGGTATAAAAAGGTAAAAAATAATCCAAATACCGTCAGGTATAAAAAGGTAAAAAATAATCCAAATACCGTCAGGTATAAAAAGGTAAAAAATAATCCAAATACCGTCAGGTATAAAAAGGTAAAAAATAATCCAAATACCGTCAGGTATAAAAAGGTAAAA